CTTATATCAATTCAATTTCACAGAAACACATGCCATGCAATGAAATGACCCTTTAGTAAAAGACGGAATAGGACATTCTCCTTGAGATCTTGAATATGTTTTTCAGAGGTGTAAATCCATATCTATATTATAGGTTTTCTCCTTTTGTAGTACCATAACACACTAACTTAGAAATAAGTCAACCCAATGTGCACTTAAAAATAGTAATAGTGAAGCCAAATTTCTTCTTCTCTGACATGATCATTATCATCTGTTTGTTCCAGCCATTTCAAATGTTAAATCTAAGGTTAACGTAGAGATTGCTGTTAAAAAGGCAGAGTGATGTATGGATTCAGTGATTCCTGTTACACAGTCAACTCTAAAATATCACCTGCTTTCACACTTAAGAATTCCTACCAACCTTGGTCTCCATAACTCTGTTTAAGAACAAATGATATCTACTATCTTTTATTATATTTACACCTAACAAATGTTTTAGCTTATTTTTTTTCTTGTCACTAATTGATATGAATTTGACTGCAATGTCAGTCTTTTTATTTCATTTTGTTTGAATGATAAAAATACACTGAAAACCCCTGAATCATGCTAGCCATAAATACAATATGAATCAATGACTGTGATTTTCTAATAATAAAATGTGAAATATTGTAAATCACCTTGAGATTTCCTTTTTACCTGAATAGGGAAGTAAACCAGTGGGTTTTATAGTGAATGAAAGTTTTATAGAAAGAACACAGATGAGTTGTAACCTTTGAAGTCGGTACATTCTGGAGCACAAATGGGAGTTTGAAATATCTGGGTTCTAGATTCAAAACTTAACTTTTCAGAAGTGCTGACTTAAATGATATATATTAGTATTTCTAGTGCTTCATTACAATGTAACACAAATGAAGTGGCATAAACAGCAGAAAGTTGTTATCTCACAAGAGGCCAGAAATCTGAAATTAATATGAGAACATACCTGGTCCCTTCTGAGGACTGTCAGAGTGAGTCTGTCTGTTCCATGTCTGTTTTCCTAGCTTCTAGTGGGTTGATAATTGTTGCCATTTCTTGACTTGTGGAAACATCCCTCAATGTCTGCCTTCATCTTGACATGGTATTTTCCCTGTGTGTGTTTGTCTGTACTCAAATTTCCTCTTTTTATAAGGACACCAGTCATATTGGAATACAGCCTATCCTAATGACCTAACTTAAAATAATTATATCTGCAGTAATCCTATATTTAAAGTCACATTCTGAAGTACTGATAGGACTTCAACATGTAAATTTTGGGAGAGGGGTGGGCACAAATCAACTCACAGTGTCATGTGCAGTGAGAAATATTGCTGTGGACATCTTTGAAGAGTACAATCTAACAAGAAGATTTTATTTGATCCAAATGAGGTATAAAGCAAAGCCATAGCCATGGATTATATGCTAAATTTTATGTGTCTAGTCCACATGTATTTATTAAGTGTCATATACTTAATAAGCTCTGTTAGGAGTTATCAGGTTCTAATAAAAAGTAATGCATAGTACTTGTCCTCATGAAGTGCCCAATCCAATGAAACATAAAATATGGGTGTAAACTTTTTTAAAGAATTTTTTTTCATGCTAAAAGACTGCAGACATTCAGTGACTGGACTTAGAGATCAGTCAGTTCACAAGATCTAGTTGACTGAATCTTGAGGAATTGGAGCCAGTTCAATTCATGGAAGAGTCCTTGCATAAGACGAAAGCAAATAAAGCTAAATCGTTTCTCTGGAGGGACATAAAAGATAAGACAGCTATGCAAATGGGCATATAAAAGAAGAATACAAAATATCAGTGAGAAGGATAGAGAAGGATCCTTGAAAATGTTAGCATTTGAGTTTAGCTTGGGAAATGCAGAAGATCTGAAATACAGAAAAGAAAGATAGAAGTTTTAGTAAAGGGTGAAAAATAAGAATAGAAAAAGTAAATAGAGTCACAAAGTAATGAGCCTTAGACTTTTCCAAAGAATGGAGAAGAAAAAATAACTAGAAGCAATGAAATCTATCTGGAGCCCTTTTAGTGTTTGGTATTCTTGTTTATTTTTAATTCCATCAAACTACCTTCTCCACCAGTAGTCATCCTTATCAAAATGTTCTCCAAAGTATCATATTTCTTAAAGAAACAACTGTTGAGCATCTTTCTTCTTGGATTTTTTCTTATTTTTTCTCTGATATTTCTTTAGTGGTTCAGATTAAGAACAAATACTGTTATCCATCTATTTTGTACTGTCATGCATTTTAATACAGAAATCACTCATACAAATAATGTAAATTGAAACATGTTGAATCTTCTACCCAACTTTCACGGTTTCAACCATTCTATATTATTGAATACTCATACTTCCGTAAGGATATCTTGACTATTCTGTGTGATGCAGGGTCATCTTACATAGACACTAAATGAGGGTACCAATGGCAATCTGCATATCAAATATTGTAACTGGATAGACATGTCTGTTATATTGTAAATCATACATAATGATATAAAAATGGATGTATCTTCTATTAAATACTACACGCACATATTTTCAAATTACTAAGCTTAATTTCTTCTTTATTTTTAGATATAGTATAAATTTTTACACAAATTCTAGGATTTTCTTCATGTGCTCCTCTGGATAATATTCCAAACTCTTAGGAGTGCATTAATCTCACTTGGGAGATAACTAGAGTAAACCTATGGAAATATAAAGCCCCATACTCAGTGAGATGCCAGTTTTGAAAACTCTTTTGAAAAGTCTCATTGGGTAAGCATATATCCTTTGTGAGGAATATTGGCTAGTTTTGGCATAAAACAACAACAATTAACAATATAAACATCAAAAATTGAAATTTGGTTTTCAAAACATACTTTTTTGTTTTGTTTTGTTTTCTTGAGACCGAGTTTTGCTCTTGTTACCCAGGCTGGAGTGCAATGGCGTGATCTTGGCTCACTGCAACCTCTGCCTCCTGGGTTCAAGCAATTCTCCTGCCTTAGCCTCCCGAGTAGCTGGGACTACAGGTGCGCTCCACCATGCCCAGCTAATTTTTGTATTCTTAGTAGAGACGGGGTTTCACCATGTTGACCAGGATGGTCTCGATCTCTTGACCTCGTGACCCACCCGCCTCAGCCTCCCAAAGTTCTGGGATTATAGGCATGAGCCCGGCCAGGATTTTTTTTTTTAAGTAGATTTCCTTAAGTTCCTTGTAAATTCTGGATCTTAGCCTTTGTCAGATGGGTAGATTGCAAAAATTTTCTCCCATTCTGTAGGTTGCCTGTTCACTCTAATGAAAGTTTCTTTTGCTGTGCAGAAGCTCTTTAGTTTAAGTAGATCCCATTTGTAAATTTTGGCTTTTGTTGCAATTGCTTTTGGTGTTGTAGTCATCAAGTCTTTGCCCATGCCTGTCCTGAACAGTACTGCCTAGGTTTCCTTCTAGGAATTGTATGGTTTTAAATCTTATGTTTAAGTCTTTAATCCATCTTCAGTAAATTTTTGTATAATGTGAAAGGAAGGGGTCCAGTTTCAGTTTTCTGCATATGACTAGTTAGTGTTCCCAACACCATTTATTATAAATAGAAAATCATTTCCTTATTACTTCCTGTTGCCAGGAAACTCGTCATTCAAATCTGAGCGAGTGGGGCGAGTGCAAAGATGGGCGCGAGTGACAGATCAGCGCAGGAAGGGCAACCTTACGGGATCCCCGTGACAAGGTATGCCCTCCAGACACCCGCTGACAATACGGAGTCGGGGGCAAAATATGCACAGGAGGCACCTGCGAGCAATGGCGGCGGGGGAGGGAGCAGGGTAGAAGGGGCGCCTGATAGGTACTGGAAGGAGAGGCGCGCGCACAAAGGACGCCATACGTGAACGGTTTGGCCCTCAAGATTCCCGCACAAGGCACCTGATGGCAATGGAAGGGGCGGCGCGCGCGCGGTGTACTGTAGGGAGAGGCGCGCGCACTAAGGACCTGGGACCTTAACGGATCGGCGCCGCAAGGTACCCGCACAAGGCAGCTACTGACAACCGTGGGATTAGGGGCGGGGTAGGGAGCGGCGCGCGCGCTAGGTACTGGAGGGAGAGGCGAGGACAAAGGGCTCAGAATCTTAATGGATTGGCGTGGCAAGGCACGCGCACAAGGCACCTGCTTGCAAGGACGGGAAAAGGGGAGTCCAGGGCCGGGCGCGCAAAATAGGTACTGGAGACAGAGGCGCGCTCACAAAGGACCCGGGACGTTAAGGGATTGGTGCGGCAAGGTATGCGCAAAAGGCACCTGCTGGCAATGGGGGTCGGGGGAGAGCCGAGGCGGGAGGAGAGGGGCGCTCAGTCGACCAGATATCTCAGACTACAAGTGTGGGACACCACACCCGGCCAATGTTTTGTATTGTTGGCCTTGGCCCCAAGTGTGCCCCGGTGCTGATGGAGCGCCTGGGGTGTGCGAGCCCTGCCGCCAGGGCCCGGCTGGGGTTGCGCCAGAAGCTGTCCATGGTTCTGAAACGATGCCGGCTGAGGCGCTGGCTGTGAATGAGCGAGTGAGCGCTGTCCGTAGTGCTGCAGAGGTCTTGGGCCCCAGCAGTGGCGGCAGTGGTGCCTAGGAAGCCGGCAGCGGGAAGACCACCAGGAATGCTTCTTGGAGGAAGTAACCCTTGAGGTGGGGAGGGTTTCCCAGGAAGGGAGACGATAGCATGAGCAAAAGCTTAGGTATACTAATAATCGTAGACTGATAATCATGGCCTGGTGCGCGCGCCTTTTCACGCCAATCCATTAAGATTCCGAGCCCTTTGTCCTCGCCTCTCCCTCCAGTACCTAGCGCGCGCGCCGCTCCCTACCCCGCCCCGAATCCCACGGTTGTCAGTAGCTGCCTTGTGCGAGTACCTTGCCGCGCCGATCAGTTAAGGTCACAGGTCCTTAGTGCGCGCGCCTCTCCCTATAGTACACCGCGCGCGCGCGCGCGCGCGCCGCCCCTTCCATTGCCATCAGCTGCCTTGTGCGCGAACCTTGCCGGCCAAACCGTTCACGTCTGGCGTACTTTGTGCGCGCGCCTCTCCTTCCAGTACCTATCAGGCGCCCCTTCTACCCCGCTCCATCCCTCGCCGCCATTGCTCACAGGACGCTCAGAGTCCAGCTGTCAAGAGTTCAACGATCCGAAAATAGCCACTGCGCCCAGCAGTGGTTACCTGGGCACTCTGTGCCCTTTATCCCTGTCCCGGTCCCTTCCCGGGGCCGAGGACCCAGCAGTAGGACTCAGTTTCCTTGAGCCTGCTGCCCGCATCCCTCACTTCATTGGCTTGCGGGATCTCTCCGTTGCTCCTGCCCCTGGACGGAGTGGCAAGCCTTCCTACCCAGACACTTGTAATCAGCCTGGTGTCGAAACAACTCCAAGGATTTACTCTTCAAGCCCTGTCTTCTGTACGGCGATCCTGCCTTCAATTTGAGGCCCAGGTACCACAGCAAGCCAGTGCCCTAAGGACTCTCAGAGAGGCCCTGGAGAAGGTAATCGCCTTTTTGTGGCCCAGAACACCCAGCTCTACCCCACACTCCCATCCAGAGATCATGTAGAGGGCCCTCATGGGGAGTGGGGCAGGGATGCCTAAGCAGGAAAAAAACCCCAGAGGCCAAGAAAAGCGCTATGATCAGAAAGGGGGCCCTGAGGGCACAAGGGATGCAGGGTCTGCATTTAGACCCCTGCGGGACAGTGGAGGCCTCTCTCCCTTTGTACCCAGGCCCGGGCCCCTGCAGAGAGACCTCCATACCCAGAGGTCAAAAATGCCATCTGAAAAGAAGTCCCAGCCCTCCGGGATGAACTACTGCCGCAACTCCATCTCCAGCTCCTCCAGCTCCGCAGGAGGCTTCCCGTGGGTAAAGAGGGGGAAGGGGCCAGCCTCATCTGACTGCCAGCTGCCCCTCACTTCTTCAAAGGCAGTGACTGAGGTCAGCCCTCAGGCTGTCTCTCAGGGTCAGGCCCAGTCTGAAAAGGCAGCAGATTCAGCACCTGGGGAGAAACTGGCCCCCAGGAGTGGCTCCCCGACATCTCAGGCCTCTAGGCCTCATAGACGAAAGTACCCTCTGCTGCGACGCAGGCGAGGGGAGCCTCTGAGGCTGCCATCTCCCTTACAGCTGGGGTTCCGGGTCACCGCTGAAGACCTGGACCTGGAGATAAAGGCCGAAATCATGTGCCTTAATTGTGCACTGCAGGGTGAGGAAAAGTCCCTCTGGGAGTGCAGAGCCTCACTGCTGTCCCATGCTTTGGGACTGGCAACAGGGACGTCTTCTCTGCCTGCTATCTCTAAAGCATCCAGCACAGAGGCACAGCAGGAGAGACGCAAGTCCCAAGATGGCCTGGACCCGGTGGCCCTCCAAGCATCTGCTGCAGGGTCCCCCTCTAGACCTCCTGTGTCTGGGAGGAACCGCAGGTCAGCAGGTTCTCTGTTATCCTCCTCAGACACCCTTCCTGCGACCTCTGCACATTCCCAGGACTCAGCCCAGGCCTCATTGTCTGCTCCAACACAGCCAGACCAGGGCACCACAACACACTTAGCTGCAGGGGCTTCCTTACCCACCACTTCCACCTCGAGCCCCCGCACCAAAAGAAAGTCGACCTGGGCTGCAGACCTGGCTGGGAGCCTTCTTGACCCATCTTCTGCCTCTCCGAGCACCACCCTGGCCAGACAGAGGGTGAGTGATTTCACTGTACTACAGAAACTTGATGCTATCACTGCAGCCATTACCCAGCCCAATCCTGTGGTCATTCATGGACAGCAGCAAGGAACCCGCACCTTGAAGCGGTTTCATCCATATTTCTGTCCAGCTGCTTCAGGTGCAGCCCAGGCCTCATCTTCTGCTCCAACACAGCCAGCGCAGGGAACCACAGCACCCTCAGCTGCAGGGGTTACCTTACCCACCACTTCCACCTCGAGCCTGGCTGGGAGCCTTTCTAACCCATCTTCTGCCTCTCACACCACCACCCTGGCCAGACAGAGGGTCAGTGATTTCACTGTACTACAGAAACTTGATGCTATCGCTACAGCCATCACCGAGCCCAAACCTGTGGTCCTTCATGGACAGCAGCAGGGAACCTGCAACTTGAAGCAGCCTCATCCATCTTCCCATCCAGCTGCTTCAGCTGCAGCCCAGGCCTCATCTTCTGCTCCAACACAGCCAGCCCAGGGCACCCCGGCACTCTCAGCTGCAGGGGCTTCCTTACCCACCACTTTAACCTGGAGCCTGGCTGGGACACTTTCTAACCCATCTTCTGCCTCTCTCATCAACGCCCTGGCCAGACCGAGGGTCAGTGGTTGCACCTCACTAGGAAAACTTGCCGTTATGGCTGCAGCCATCACTCCGCCCAAACCTGCGGTCCATCATGGACAGCAGCAGGGAACCCGCGGTTTGAAGTGGGCTCGTCCCTATTCAGATCCAGCCGCTTTATCCTTGAGTCCCCTCACCAAGAGAAAGTTGACCTGGGCTGCAGGCCTGGCTGGGACCCTTTCTAACCCATCTTCTGCCTCTCTCATCAACGCCCTGGCCAGACCGAGGGTCAGTGGTCGCACCTCACTACGGAAACTTGTCATTATGGCTGCAGCCATCACTCAGCACAAACCTGCGGTCCTTCATGGACAGCAGCAGGGAACCCGCGGCTTGAAGCCGCTTTAGCCTTGAGCCCCCCCACCAAGAGAAAGTTGGTGCCAGGCTATCCCAGGCAAATTCTAGGCCAGGCTATCCAAGGCAAGGCAAGGCAAGGCTATTCCAGGCAAGGCTATTCCAGGTAATGCCAGGCAAGGCAAGGCAAGGCAAGGGACAGCAATGCAATCCCAGGCAAGGCAATACAATCCCAGGAAAGGCAATTACAGGAAAGGCAATTTCAGGCAAGGCAAGGCAAGACAAGGCAGGGAAAGGAAATTCAAGGCAAGGCAATTTCAGGTAAAACAAGGCAAGGTAATTCCAGGGCAGGTAACTCCAGGCAAGGCAAGGCAAGGAAATTCCAGGCAAGGCAAGGCAAGGCTATTCCAGGCAAAGCAATTCCAGGCAATGCAAGGCAAAAAAAGGCAAAAAATTCCAGGCAAGGTAAGGCAAGGCAAGGCAAGTTCAATCCAGGCAACTCAAGTTCAATCCAGGCAACTCAATTTCAGGCAAGGCAAGGCAATTTCAGGGAAGGCAATTTAAGGCAAGGCAAGGCAATGCAAGGCAAGGAAATTCCAGGTGAGGAAAGTCAAGGCAAGGCAATTTGAAATGAGGCAATTTCAGTCATGGCAAGGCAAGACAAGGAAAGTCAAGGCACGTCAATTCCAGGCAAGGAAAAGCAAGGCAATACAAGGCAATTCCAGGCAAGCCAATTCCAGGTAAGGCAAGGCAATGCAATCCCAGGCAAGGCAAGGCAAGACAAGGCATGGAAAGAAAATTAGATGCTAGGCAATTGTAGGTAAAACAAGGCAAGGTAATTCCATGGAAGGTAACTCCAGGCTAGGCAAGGCAAGGCAATTCCAGACAAGACAAGGCAAGGCTATTCCAGGCAAGGCAATTTCAGGCAATGCAAGCAAAGGAAAGGCTAAAATTTCCAGGCAAGGCAAGGCAAGGTAGGGCAGGGCAGGGAAGGGCAGGGAAAGGTAAGGCAAGGCAAGGCAAAAGGCAAAAGGCAAAAAAAAAAAAAAAAAAAAAAAAAAGCAAAAGGCAAAAGGCAAAAGGCAAAAAAGGTAAAAAAGGCAAAAAAGGCAAAAGACAAAAGGCAAAAGGCAAAAGGCAAGGCAAGTCAAAAGGCAAAAGGCAAGGCAAGGCAAGTCCAATCGAGGCAGCTCAAATTCAGGCAATGCAAGACAAATTCCACGAAAGGCAATGCAAGGCAAAGCAAGGCAATGCAATGCAAGGCAATTCCAGGTGAGGAAAGTCAAGGCATAGCAATTTGAAATGAGGCAATTTCAGTCATGGCAAGTCAAGGCAAGACAATTCCAGGCAAGGCTATTCCAGTAAAGTCAAGGCAGGGCAATTCCAAGCAAGGAAAAGCAAGGCAATGCAAGGCAATTCCAGGTAAGGCAAAGCAAGGCAATTCCAGGCAAGTCAATTCGAGGCAAAGCAATTCTAGGCAATGCAAGGCAAGGCAAGAGAAGGCAATGCCAGGCAAGGCAAGGCAAGGCAAGGCAAGGCAAGGCAAGGCAAGGCAAGGCAAGGCAAGGCAAGGCAAGGCAAGGCAAGGCAAGGCAAGGCAATCCCAGGTGAGGCAATGCAATCCCAGGTGAGGCAATTACAGGAAAGGCAATCTCAGGCAAGGCAAGGCAAGACAAGGCAGGGAAAGAGAATTCGAGGCAAGGCAATTGAAGGTAAGGCAAGGCAAGGTAATTCCAGGGAAGGTAACTCCAAGTAAGGCAAGGTAAGGCAAGGCAATTCCAGGCAAGACAAGGCAAGGCTATTCCAGGCAATGCAAGGCAAGGCTATTCCAGGCAATGCAAGGCAAGGCAAAGGAAGGAAAGGAAAGGCAAAGCAAGGCAATGCAATCCCAGGCAAGGCAATCACAGGAAAGGCAATTTCAGGCAAGGCAAGGCAAGACACGGCAGGCAAAGGAAATTCGAGGCAAGGCAATTGCAGGTAAGGCAAGGCAAGGTAATTTCAGGGAAGTTAACACCAGGCAAGGCAAGGCAAGGCAAGGCGAATTAAGACAAGGCAATTCCAGGAAAGACAAGGCAAGGAAAGGCAAAAAAAAATCCAGGCAAGGCAAGGCAAGGCAGGGCAGGGCAGGGCAGGGCAAGGCAAGGCAACGCAAGGCAAGGCAAAACAAACAAGGAAAAAGGTAAGGCAAGGCAATCCAGGCAAGGCAAGGCAATCCAAGCCAAGGCAATCCCAGGCAAGGCAATCCCAAACAAGGCAATCCCAGGCAAGGAAAGGCAAGGCAGGGCAGGTTGGGGCAGGGCGGGGCAGAGCAGGGTAAGGCAAGATGGCAAGGCAAAAGGCAGCAAGGCTCAAGGCAGCAAGGCAAAAGGCGGCAAGGCAAAAGTCATCAAGGCAAAAGGTGGCAAAAGGCGGCAAGGCAAAAGGTGGCAAAGGGCGGCAAGGCAAAAGAAGAAGAAGGCAGGCAAGATGAAAGAGAGAAGAAGAAGGCACGCAAGGCAAAAGAAAGAAGAAGAAGGCAGGCGAGGCAAAAGAAAGAAGAAGGCAGGCAAGGCAAAAGAAAAAAGAAGAAGGCAGGCAAGGCAAAAGAAAGAGGAAGAAGGCAGGCAAGGCAAAAGAAGAAGAAGGCAGGCAAGGTGAAAGAAGAAGAAGGCAGGCAAGGCAAAAGAAAGAGGGCGAAGGCAGGCAAGGCAAAAGAAAGAAGAGGAAGGCAGGCAAGGCAAAAGAAAGAAGAGGAAGGCAGGCAAGGCAAAAGAAAAAAGAAGAAGGCAGGCAAGGCAAAAGAAAGAAGAAGAAGGCAGGCAAGGCAAAAGAAGAAGAAGGCAGGCAAGGTGAAAGAAGAAGAAGGCAGGCAAGGCAAAAGAAAGAAGAGGAAGGCACACAAGGCAAAAGAAAGAAGAGGAAGGCAGGCAAGGCAAAAGAAGAAGAAGGCAGGCAAGGCAAAGAAGAAGGGAGGCAAGGCAAAAGAAGAAGATGGCAGGCAAGGCAAAGAAGAAGGGAGGCAAGGCAAAAGAAGAAGAAGGCAGGCAGGGCAAAAGAAGAAGAGGCAGGCAAGACAAAAGAAGAAGAAGAAGGCCTTTCCATGAGTCAAGAGCAAGAATTTCATATCTATTGCTAATTAAGTCAATGAGCTTTCCATTGGCACTGGTGAGGTCAAAACACCTGGAGTGGAGTAAGCACACTTCTATTCTAAAGCTTGAAGAATACAAACTAAGATTAGCAACCTCAAGCAATAGATTGACAAATTTCAAAAAGTTAATTCATAATTATTGCTAGTTAACTCAAAATTTAAAAGTTTTACTTTATATTTTCTCTCTATTACTTTTTGGAGCAGTATAACTTGAAAATGACATTGGCATGGTTAATCTCAGGTGTCAGCTTGACTGGGTTGAGGAATAGCTAGGAAAACATTACTTGAGTGTGCCTGTGAGAGTGTTTCCGGAAGAGATTGGCACCTGAATCAGAAAACTGAGTAAGGAAGACCTGTTCTCACCAATGTGAGCAGGCATCATCCAATCTACTGCAGGCCTCGATAGAACAAAAGGCAGAGAAAAAGTGAATTTCCTCTCTCTTCTAGAGCTGTGACATTCATCTTCTCCTCTCCTTGGACATCAGGACCCCTGGTTTTCAAGCCTTTGGATTCAGACTGATTTCCACCACCAGCTTCCCTGGGTCTCCAGCTTGTCAGTGCATATTGTGGGACGTCCTTGCCTCCATAATTGCATGAGCCAATTTCCATAATATATCTCATCTTCTATATCTCTATGGGTATCCTATTGGGTCTTTTTCTTTGGACATTCCTAATATGAGCATGCATCATCATCTTGGTAGAAAATATAATTTCTTCTCATTTTATCCTAGTGATACTTAAAGAAATTCAACAGTTCTATGACAAAATATGACACATAAAACCAAGGAAAGCTGAAACTGATGGTGATGGCTGAGTTAATGACTAAGACAGGCAAATATGTGTGAGAAAACGTACCCAGATATAAAGGGTAAAATAAAATTATAAACTCAGTGATTATTTACTGAGTACCTACTAGGTTCCACGTAAGTGAATTTTGACTTTGGCCTTAGGAAAGTACCATATGAAGCTTGACTGAACATAATTGGACATACATTTTGCCAGAAATACTATGGAATTATAAATGCAATCAGTTACTATGAAAAATAAGAGGAGGATAGCTATTAAGGAGGTAAAAATCTTTAGAATTTGGAAGTGTCGTATTAAGGGACGGATAACTACAGACAAATACAGGATGATTCTGGGATGAGTCTGACATTATAGGAAAAAAGTATCTGTTATAATGGGTGAATGGGGGATCAGGCACAGATAATCTGGGAAGAGTTTTGCTTGATAAGCTACCTTGTTTAGACTGGTTTTTACTGGCTCATCTGTGGATAGAACAATTTCCATCATAGGTTCTCTCAGAGACAGCATGCAACATATGTCAGCTCCCACCAAGCAAGTCCTCTATAAAATGAAAAAGAGTGGTTCCTGGATGACAGATGTTACTGCTGAACCAGGGAAAATAGTGAGGAGCTTTGAGGTGCTGAGCAGATAACAGGTATTAATTCCAAGATACACTGACACTACATGGCAAAGCAAGCAGCAATTTGTTTTTGGTGGCTGGACAGGATTTCAGAATGCTGACTTAATAGATGGAACAAGATAAGACTATTGTTACTAAACAGATCATCAAAAAATCTGGAGAAGTAGCATATTTTTTTTTTCATCTAAATCTATATGGCATGATAGAGATAAATTCCCTTTTCAAATTTCCAATTTGGTTGGAAATTACATGGCAGACCAAGTTTAGTTGTAACAACGGAAGCCAGAACCCAGTGTGCTAAAGCACTCATGTAGTTTCCGACACAGATCAAGAGGTCAATAAATATTGTTGAATGAATTTCTTTGTGTCCTTGTTTAAAAAGTTTAAGTTTCTATTAACCTTATTCTGCAATTATTTATATTCCCATGTCACACTATGCAAATGTCCACATTGCTTCATAGTAAGCTTGAGCATAAGGCTAGCTTTATGGCTCAAGTTAATACCAGGGCAAGTGGCTCCAGACGTTCATTTGAAACAATCTGGCTGCATACCCGTATGGCATCAGTGTTGAGTGACCCTACCCATTAATAAATTATGAACCAATCTTTAAAAAGAGACATGTGAATTCTTCAGTCTAAAGGATAAGAAGTTTAAGTCATAAAATCTATCTGATACTACAAATAATGTTTTGGGCTTCCATTTTTTATCCAAGAACATCTGCCAAAAATCTTTTAAATAAAAGACCTATAATTACTCTTGTTGTTCCCAACCGATCCACCAATTCTAGACATAGCATTTATATCACTTTTCATTTTAAAGCATACTTTTCTTTAATGTATATGGAATTTAATTTTGTCATTTGCTATTGGAGATAAGCCCCCTAAAGAAACACAGGTAAATTTACATTTTATAAAAATCTAATCTTAACATCTCCTCTGTCCACTTCCCACTAATTAGTTTTTAATTTTCCTAGATTGTTTCTGCTAATATAAACTAAGCAAAATTTTGCTCTTGTCTGTAGTTCAACCTTTTTTATCTAGTTTACCTAGAGCTGCTTCAAATATCTCACATGAGAATTAAATAATTTCTTTTATAATTTGAAAATACTTAAATTTTTTTCTAACCTTCTGCCAATTTTCACCACATATATGTAGTTATTTTCTTGAATTGTTTACTAGGTTAAGAATTCCAGACTCTAATAATTCCAGTCATTTTTTCACCAAATAAGTTACATTAACTGGATCTATTATTGACATTAATGAATGCATCCTAAGACACATGTTTCCATCTTAGCAGTTACATCTTATGGAACATGAAATAAACCAAAAGAGGATGTTAATATTATTGACTTGTATGACTTTCTTATTTTCCTCAATTAATCAAGGGACAAAGCCCTTCTTGTATACTACATTCTGACTCCCACTACCTTCTCATCAGTACTTTGATAATTTAATAGAATATTGTTAAGGATCCTTCACAAGTTGTAGGTAGTAAGATAATCTGGCAAATAAATGTCTTGGCTGACAGCAAAAAAGAAAAAAAAATTACTTATAATTTCCTGTTCCCATGTAAATTTAACTAGTTCCTTTATTGAAGTTATGTGTCTATATGGTCAGAGTAACTATGTTTACCCAGAGGAGTCAATTCAATAAAATAAACAACATAAATAAAACACCTTATGTAGAATGTTTTACTTTCTGGAAGAGGATTGGTAATCAATGCAGACAAAAGTATTCATCCAAGAGGCTCAGCTGGAGATAAGCTGTGGTGTTAGATGGAGTTATATAGCTCAGAGCTTACATATAGAAACACTCACAATGACTACTGCATAAATGGCTGAATAGATGAATGAAGAAGAATTGAACAAGTATCAAGGAAATCCTGCTATCTCTAAACTAAGAAGCCCTGCTGTATAATTTTATCTCGAGAAATGTCTTTTCTGCTTCCCTGTAGATTTATTGAGAATGTACATCTTTTCTCTGTTTACTGAATTGGTTATGATGCCTGCATACCCAGGTGCATCTTGGAAATATTTGCATCTATTTATGATAAATAGATTGGGATGAATCCATTTTGACAAAGTACAAGTAATTGGGCCAATTCTCAGAGGTCTGGCAATGTGGAAAGTAGGAAGAGGAAATCTTTTCCAGCTTTCACAATCTCTGGTCCTCTTGTCTCCAGTATTTTCATCTTACCTTCTTCACATAAAGGTGTTGGGTTGGAATGATATAATATAATTAAGGGCATAAATAGGATATTACAAATGATCTTTTATAAGAATATAGCTCTTAACACAAATCCATACCACAGACAGGAAAGCTTGAAAATATTTTACCAAAAACAAACAGAACACTGAGACTGAACTGACAGCCTAAAATGAACCCCAAAGCCCTGCCTTCAGGTTAGGGACTTGATTTGCAGTCTGAACCAATGCATTTTCTTTGCCAGAATTCAAATAAAATTTCAATTGACGACCCAAAGCTTAAACTATTTTTCTGGAACTCCCTGCTTATCATTTTTTTTTCTTTCTGAACTATGTTTGTTCTTTCTTCTTGATTTCTTTTTTTTTAAATTTTTTTATTGCATTTTAGGTTTTTGGGTACATGTGCAGAACATGCAAGACAGTTGCATAGGTACATACATGGTAGTGTGTTTTGCTTCCTTTCTCCCCTTCACCCACATTTGGCATTTCTCCCAGGCTATCCCTCCCCAGCTCCCCCCTCCCCCCGCTGGCCCTTCCCTTTTCCCCCCAATAGACCCCAGTGTTTAGTACTCCCCTCCCTGTGTCCATGTGTTCTCATTTTTCATCACCCACCTATGAGTGAGAATATGCGATATTTCATTTTCTGTTCTTGTGTCAGTTTGCTGAGAATGATGTTCTCCAGATTCATCCATGTCCCAACAAATGACATGAACTCATCATTTCTGATTGCTGCATAATATTCCATGGTGTATATGTGCCACATTTTCCCAATCCAGTCTATCATCAATGGGCATTTGGGTTGATTCCAGGTCTTTGCTATTGTAAACAGTGCTGCAATGAACATTCGTGTGCATGTGTCCTTATAGTAGAATGATTTATAGTCCTTTGGATATATACCCAGTAATTGGATTGCTGGGTCAAATGGAATTTCTATTTCTAAGGCCTTGAAGAATCACCACACTGTCTTCCACAATGGTTGAACTAATTTACACTCCCACCAACAGTGTAAAAGTGTTCCTTTTTCCTTATTTAAACATTGGTGTTTAATTTTTTAGTGGGAGGAAATAAACACTTGAACTCCAACTCCTCTGTGGAGAAAAGTGTGTAGATTTTAAAGGGACCTGGTGTTGAGTAATCTAAATAATCATTATCATAATCTCCAATGTCATCGTTAATATTGACTCACAAAAATGAACTGAGACTACTAAGATTCTTATATAAGCCATCTTCTGAAATCCTCCCAGAGCCGAACAGGTGAATGCTGTTATTGCCATTTTAAGATGAGAAATATGAGGTTCAAGGAAGTTGAATACTTTTTGCAAAGCTTTGTGTTTTATGATGATGTGGGTGCTGGTTGGGTCAGGATTTAAACCTAGGCCAGCTGGGCAAGGAGGGATACATGTGGGAGCTCAGCTGAGCTGCAGAGAACTGAGCGGCCAGGTGTTGGAACAGTCAATTAAAGCAACAAGTCAGAACAGTATTACTCAAGTCCTTAATAACTTACTGCAATAATAGAAGCAAGAGGCTAAAAAACAGAAGTATCAATTTCCTGCTGTTCCATTTTTCCCCATTGCACAGCACAATTGTTGAGAGTCAGGTAGATCAACTTACGTGGAGGTTGTCTCACCTTTTGTCTGAAAAATTCTGAACAAAAGTACAGTTTTATAGTCCCTGGGGCTGGTGCAGGACAAGGCAGGGGAAGATGGGTTGGGAGAAGCTAGGAATGGAAAATTACTAAGTCAGAATGGGGGAAAAGTGATTTCAAGGTTTCCATCTTCCCTTCCCTGTAAAGAGGTTTCAGCAGAATGCTTGAAGACTGCCTTTGCCTAAGGCTTCAGATGAACAAGCTTAGGAATGCAGGCTCCTGGGCTAGGCCTGCCAGCATGCCTAACAGTATGGCTTGCCAGAGAGGCCTGCATCCTTGACTGCAACTGTCCTTGGAGAATCCACTGCATTGGCTATGAACTAAGTCTGAGGTGGGGCAGCTTTCCCCTGTGAGGCCTGTCAGGGTAGGGCTTGAAAAATCACATAGAGGTTTTTAGTGTGGGGCTGGATTCCTCAGTATGCAAACCTAATCTAGATAGAACATCAACTACACTTATTCTTGCCCCATTTCTCAGTGATTCTGATATGACTTATTTTTCTTCATATTTGGAAAATCTCTCCATAAGTATAACACTATTATGGGTAGAATTATGTTTTTTAGTGTGTTGTGTTGTGTTACAAAAAAAGATTAAATCACTAATCTGGATTTCTGAATGAACAAAGTTGTGGTACTGAACCCCTATCAACTCCAACAGGGATCGCACCAGGTTCAAGAGGATGAAGAGACCCAGAGTCAGTGAATGAGACATGGGTTTTGCTGGAGGCTTACGTACATGGAAGAGAGTCCAGTGGCAGTGGACTGAACAGGAGAACCAGAATGTCTTCCAAAATCATGCAGTTTATCTAGCGTTTTTCATTTAGCACCCTCCCCCTAACAACCTTCATCTGCGAGCCTTCATTCACCACAAAACAAAAGGCCTCCTCCATTCTCTGTATGACCCATGTTTCATGGAATGGGCTGGGACTCAGATGTTTCTCATAGATAAGGAATGTTTGCCTGGGTTGGCCACTCCAAGATCCCTTAGCAGGGAACTCTGAACCACATTCAGACGTGTCTGCCATCCAGTGTCATTCTCAGGATATGCTTACATTGTTGCTATCAGGTGTGTTTACTATACAACAGTGAATGACAAATGAATTTAAAATTTATAAATTCACAAGATTCAAAAGAATGAAAATGCATCTTCAAGTACTACAGAAGATGTGTGAAAAAATAGCTAAAACAAAGTTGTTTGGGAGGTCTATCCAAACACAGTCAATAATTGCTCCTCTCAACCCATGTAAGACCACTGGTATATTCTGTGGAGAAGTCAAATGCTAAAAGCTGCAGTCTTTGGTCCATTATGCACAATAGAAGCTGGGATTGAGATATAGAACTAAATACACGCTGAGTGTTGGGGATTGAATCCACTTTCTCCATCCTGTTCTTGTGATTCTGATGGACAGTGAAAATGCTCCAGGCAGGAGACTGTAGGGTTCCTTTTTGGAGAACCAGGCATTTGTGGGTAAAGTCACCAACATTCAGTTCTTTGCCTGATACCGCTTATCGAAAGTCCTTCCAATAAACACTTTCATGCACATACAACTTCAGCCCTTGAAGTATACCTGGGGTGTCAAGAATGATTGGCATTTTAAGAAAACATTCAATATAAAAGATATCCAAGGAAAAAACAAGAGGCAAAAAGGAAAACTTAAAATATTCTATAATTTCAGGGAGCTAATCATATATCTCAGAGAGATGAAGAAAAATATCACATCTGTTAGAAAAGGATGGTAGAATACAGAAATAATCAGACAATAGACATTACTTTCAAAAATAAACATGTTAGCTTATATTTAAAAAAATAAATGAATTTCAAGATTCTGAAGGACAGACAGAATAATGCTTTTACAATTCCAAGAGAAAAATAAATCTAAATTCTTTTTTTTTCACTTTCATGACAAATCAAAAGGAAGTCAATAATTCAAGACCAAAAAAAGAAAGAACACTGAATCAATGGACACAACACAGAAGAATGGTAGGTGGTCCCTGAGAAGCAGGTGTTCAATGGGCAGACAGAACAACTAGACTCATGTGTTGGGATTCACTAATGGTGTTTAGAAAAGTATTAAGGGAAATATTAGGGAAAATTATATAGTCTGAAACCTTTTGGAACTTCAAAAGGTTTTTGTAACTTGTAATAATGGAACAGGCTGAAGGCAGCCGGTTCTTACCTTAGCACATTAGGTCATAGGGTAAAGATTAGGAATTATGGAAGCTTCCCAAGTTAAATCTGCTTACTCCACATTCCTTTGTCTCTAACTCGTTTACTCATTTGGTCTTAAAACCAACCGGATGACCCTCTCTGGGCAGGGGGAGGTTAACCAGGGAAATTACCTGTTAATGTTGTTTGCTCTGGGCCCCTGGAACCAAACTTTCATCATTCGTATAACCACTCTTTTAATCATGTTAATTATCCACAAGTATATTGACTTAGAACCTCTGTTATTAAATCTATACTGAATAAATATGAGGAAGGAGAACTAGAGGGGATCGAGTAGCTGTACTTGCCCTCTGAGAGCAGCTGATGACCTCCTGAGCCCACTTGTTCACTGTACTGTGTGTATGAGTGCATTTATTCATCCATTGTGGAGACAGAGTTTGCAGAACAGACCCCTGCAGGTGGTGATCAAGGTCTTACTCATGTAAAGCAAACAAGACCAGCCAGGGAAGAGAACTGCAAGAAGATTCTTGCTGAGAAGTAGTAGATGGAAAAGAAGGTGGAAAAAAGAAGTCTGATACATTGTTAAACATGTTTGAACCTTTGGAAATGTATTGCTATCTGATTGATTGGTATATTGAAACATTTGTGGAAAAGCAGAAAGTACATATAATACTAAGTAAAAGAAATGAAAAGTTAATAACTGGGAAAAACAAAAAAGGACTCATAAGCTTAGTACCCTTTGTCTCTGCAGTAAATGATAGGTAGTTATAATAATATAAACTCATAACTGATTTAACCTTAAATGCTGACATAACCATAGAATAGAAGCACATAGAATGAGTTAAATCCCCATGAACACAACCAGAAGTCAACAGACCATGTTTAAAATTGAGAAATCAAAAAATCCCACAATAGTATCATTATATTATTTAGACATAAAATTTGGAAATCAATAAAGGAAGAAACAAAACAGAAGCAAAATTTGTGCCTGTTTCTCTCAGTAACAGGGTTTGGGTATATTGAGGACTGCAATAAAGAAAAGTTGTTTTTTTCTTTAGTTTTTTCTTTGAAGTTTTAGTACATGAAATACTAATTATAAAATGGCATCTGTGGTCGTAGCCATTGTGCATTAATTTCATCAATTTCTTTTACTTGAAGAAGAGTTAAAGTGAGCAGCATCTTGTCTTTATATTGTGTCCACCAAGAATGTAATTTTTTGAATTGTTTGCATGCAATCATCAACTGCTTGCTTTGTCTATATGGTCCTGGATGTCTAAAAGGTTTTCAAATTTCTGAACCAATGGAACTATGAGGACTTAGTATCTTATCTTTGTTTTATCATCTCCTACCACATTCCATCTCACAGATCTTTCTGCATCCTTCAAATACTACTGCTTTTCTGCATTTACTCACAGACCATGTAAAATGATACTTAAAAAAAAAATTACTTCTAGCCAGAGCAATCAGGCAAGAAAAAGAAATAAAAGGTATTCAATTAGGAAAGGAGAAAGTCAGTTGTCTCTATTTGCAAATGATGTGATTGTATATCTAGAAGACCCCATTGTCTCAGTCCAAAATTTTCTCAAACTGATAAGCAACTTCAGCAAAGTCTCAGGATACAAAATCAATATGCAAAAATCACTAGCATTCCTATATAGCTATAACAGACAGAGAGCCAAATCAAGAGCGAACACCCATTCACAATTGCTACAAAGAGAATAAAATACCTAGGAATACAACTGACAAAGGATGTAAAGAACCTCTTCAAGGAGAACTACAAACTACTGCTCAACGAAATAAGAGAGGACACAAACAGATGGAGAAACATTCCATATTCATGGTTAGGAAGAATCAATATTGTGAAAATGGCCGTACTGCCCAAAGTAATCTATAGATTCAATGCTATCCTCATCAAGCTACCAATGACCTTCTTCACAGAACTGGAAAAAACCACTTTAAACTTCATATGGAATCACAAGAGGCCCCGCATAGCCAAGACAATCCTAAGCAAAAACAACAAAGCCAGAAGCATCACACTGCCAGACTTCAAACTATACTACAAGGCCACAGTAATCAAAACAGCATGGTACTGGTACCAAAACAGAGACATAGACCAATGGAACGGAACAGAGACCCCAGAAGAAATACCACACATTTACAACCATCTGATCTTTGAAAACCCAGCAAAAACAAGCAATGGGGAAAGGACTCCATGTTTAATAAATGGTGTTGGGAAAACTGGCTAGCAATATGCAGAAAGCAGAAACTGGACCCCTACCTGTCACCTTACACTAAAATTAACTCCAGATGGATCAAAGAGTTAAACATAAAATCTAACACCATAAAAACACTAGAAGAAAACGTAAGCAAAACCATCCAGGACATAGGCATAGGCAATGACTTCATGACTAAAACACCGAAAGCAATGATAATAAAAGCCAGGCTAGACAAATGGGATCTAATTAAACTCCAAAGCTTCTGTACAGCAAAAGAAGCCATCATTAGAGTGAATCGGCAACCAACAGAATGGAAAAAATTTTTGCAATCTACCCATCTGACAAAGGGCTAACATCCAGAATTACAGAGAACTAAAACAGATATACAAGAAAAAAACAAACAAGCCCATTCAAAAGTGGGCGAAGGATATGAACAGACACTTTTTGGTCATTAGAGAAATGCAAATCAAAACCACATTAAGATATCATCTCACTCCAGTTAGAATGGCGATCATTAAAAAATCGGGAGACAACAGATGCTGGAGAGGATGTGGTGAAATAGGAACACTCTTACACAGTTGGTGGGAGTGTAAATTAGTTTAACTATTGTGGAAGACAGTGAGGCGATTTCTCAAGAATCTAGAAATAGAAATTCTATTTGACTCAGCAATCCCACTATTGGGTATATACCCAAAGAACTATAAATTATTTTACTATAAAGACACATGCACATGTATGTTCATTGCAGCCCTGTGTACAATAGCAAAGACCTGGAACCAACCCAAATACCCATCAATGATAGACTGGACAAAGAAAATGTGGTATATGTACATCATGGAATACTACACAGCCATAAAAAGCAATGAGTTAGTGTCCTTTGTAGGGAATTGGATGAATCTGGAAACCATCATTCTCAGCAAACTGACCCAACAACAGAAAGCCAAACACTGTATGTTCTCACTCATAGGTGGGTGTTGAACAATGAGAACACATGGACTCAGAGAGAGGAGCATCACACACGGGGGACAGTTGGGGGGGGTAGGAGAGAGACAATGGGGGATGGGAAGGGAGAGGAGGGTGGGGAGGGATAACATGGGGAGAAATGCCATATATAGTATGCACCTAAAGTAAAATAAATAAATTTTTAAGAAAATTAGGAGATTTTGTTTATTTGATTGTTTATTTTGGAGATGGGGTCTTGCTCTGTAGCCCAGGCTGGAGGGCAGTGGTGTGATTTCGGTTCACTGCAACCTCCGCCTCCTGGGTT